GGTTGCTCAGTCTTAAGACAAGCTGCTCGTAAGTCGTTCCTCTTTTGCAAAGTAAGTGACTACTGCTAGGAAAATTAAGATATGGAATATAAATAAACTTTTTCTACACAAATGTAAACTACATTATGGGCATTCTCCACGATGCTGGTTTGCTCTTAAGCTGCATAAATCCATCCCCCTCAAGATAATAATCTATAGTCTATGTCTTGTCCACTCTAAGCAATATTATGTTTTTTTTCATCGAGTGGCTAATATAAATCTCTTTGCTACTTATGTTTGGACATTCTCTTGTTGATAAAACGGGGCTTTAAGTATAATCATTGTAATCCAAGAATATCTAGTAGGCTATTAGGTTATCGGCAAGGAAGACTTAGAATTGATATATAACAATGCAAATGGAATAGCCTACCAATCACCACTTAATTAATCGTGAAAAAACGAAGAAAGAAATCGAGGATCCGCGTTATTTCGTTTTTTCTTCATAAAGTAATCATAGAAGGTTTTCTGAAGTTTCAGATAGTATTTGATTAGAGGACTCTATCGCACAATTCTGCTTATAACTTTTGCAAAACGTGATTTCACAAAAAAATCCGTCGCAAGCGTAGCATCTTCATAACTTCTTTCAAAGTAGATAAAGCTTATCAAGAAGAATCTTAAGGTATGCCACACTACAGTAACATCTAAGGCATACGGTAGTTACGGTAGGAAATTCGAATCCGTTCGAAAGTTTGCGTAGAGGAATATAACACCTCCAAACAAAGTTTCAGACTTATTTTCAATATTGATTTCCTATCCTATCTACCATATACTTTGAGATGTTACTGTAGTGCAGCATACCTTCGTCTTGACAAGTTGAGTCCAACACCGCTATCTCTTTCAGAAATATCCACCTTGAAAGAAGTTATGACGATGCGACGTTTGCGACGGATTTTTATGTGAAATCACGTTTTTTTGCAAAAGTTATGAGCGGTGTTGTATATGTACAACTGGGCTCGATTTAACAGCTGTCTCTTGGGGACGCTTATGTTTGATGTGCATTTGATTTTGTCTTTTTTGTCTCATTTCTGTCTAAAAGCAAGAGTGGTGTAAGAGCTGAAAGGCTTAGAATTTAGTAAGTTTTCAAAGAAAGAAGTACATTTTCCAAAAATACGTGTGCATGTCATGGCGCATAGGGATGAAACGTGTATATTTTTTGGTTCTTCCTATTTCGAGCTATTCTTGGCTTCCCTAATTGTATTCGCTAAATACTTCAAAATTTTCATGTACATCTTCTAAATTCAAAGGTTGTTACGCTTTCTTTTTTTCTTTTTCATCTCATACATTTGTTAAAACACAAATAAAAATACAAGGTGATTGAGACTAAAAATTTGATTCAAAAACATCTTTGCACTCTAATAAATACTCAAAGTCAGCTTTGTTTCTTTTTTAAAAGCTTCATATTTGCAACCATCTTGCTTCATTGCAGGTAGCTCAGTAACAGTAGGCTGAAGAAAAACCAATCCAGAGTTAATTACCGTTACTTTCATTTGGGAAGAACTCAGCGTTTGATATTGCTTGCGCCATCTCAATTATTCTGTAATGCCTTTTCTCTTTCACATGTCATAGAACATTCCAGATGTAAGCAAACATTTGATTTAATGAATAAGCATGCGTTTCCTTTAAGCGCTCAACTAATTTGGATTTTACGGGTAAACTCAGTTGTGGTGAGTGGAGCTGTTTGAGCAAAGGTGCATTTTTGGTGCCTTATATTAATGTTTAACTTACTTACCATTACATTGTTCTTCTGAATCAACTTATCATCCTTTTCGAAGCATTCTGCCATAATTTGGTTTTCCAAAACAGGATCAAAACTACTATTTTAGAATCGCATGCAAACTCACACCATAATAATCGCAATATGGAAATATCGTCTAAATCTGGCAAAACTTAGGAAACCGGATAATGTTCGAATATTCGTAGTGGGCCCACCTAGGACACTACTAGACGAGAACAAGTTATTGTACTATTATGCGTTTACATTTATTTGCAAAACTATTCCATTTATAGTGTTGATGTGTACTTCCAAGTTGAATCCCCTATACGAGACCATGACCATTTACAACTGCTCCAGAAGGTAAGCCTTTTTTCTTTGGGCGTTAACCTTAGGCACTTATACAGAAAATGTATCAGGCAAAACCCAAATATATGAAAAGTTCTTTGACCTTGAATCATTTCCTCCCTCTATTCGTACCATTTCCCAACGTGATAGGGATAGGATGTCTTAAAGAAATCTGAATTGAACCTCCTTTCTTGATAGTTGTAGTGTAAAGAAAGCTAAATCCCATTAAAAAAACATAGTTATTTTAAAATGTTAAAGGTGTTACTGAGAACTTTTTTTGCCCTGCGTTAAGCGTACTGTGCGTTCGAAAGCTTTGAGGAATTTTAGGTAATTTTCTAAGGTAAGTTCCAAGAGTAATTCCGTGCTACTTACTGTAATGAAAAATTACCCTTAATTCTTAACTCTAGTATTCAATGGAGCTTTAACCAATGATTTTTCGTAAGTATCTCCAAAACAATTCAAAAAAGTGCTTACTTCTGAGCGCGTAATTGTGATATTAGAAAGAGAGCCTAACAGACAAGGAGGGTGATTTTTTGAAATTTTGATAAAAAGACCGGTTATGCTTGATTTAGGTCCGTGAGCTTTGCTCAATCTATGCTGCTTCACAACGACGGATTGTTGCGTTTGAAAGAAGTCTGCAGAAGGCGGTAGCTAGGATACGAAAGGAGCTGAGCATAGAGGTAGGCAGACTTATTCAGTCAACTTAGTATCTATCCAGAACTGTTTGGATGTTGACAATGGAAAAAGTTGTCAAAAAAATTTCTCTGTTCTCACTTGCTTGAAAAAAAAATGAATTTCTGCAACACTTGTTTTCATTGCTTTGAATGAGACCAGTTATATTAACTGAGTTTGGAAAGTAATCATATCCAAGCAAAACAGAACAAATTACATGATCATTACGTTGATTAACAAAGTCCACCGCCACTGTGCAGGGCTTCTATCCGGAACAGCTAGAGCAGATTCTCAGTGTTCGAGACGCTATCCATAACCCAAGGAAGAATGGTCTAGCCACTTTGAGGTATAACTTTCCAACTTCTTAGTATACTTACTGGAACATAATTACGGGCCATTTCAGGCAATGCTCATTATCTGGTAGTCCTCAGCCAGAGCCATGGCTGGAGGTGGTTCGATCGCAAGTTGGGAGCTTTCCAGTAGTTGTACGTTCCATGTGCCA